AAATTTCAATTTTATTTTGATCAAATATTTAGTTATTAATGGAGCATTGATAAGTATGTGAATATTGGAGTTGTTGGATAGATTGTAATTAATTGTGTATATTAGGCTCAAGAAAAAGTTAATTTGGATAAACGAAGTTTAATTTATTGAAATCAAAATATATTGTCTTGAATTGTAATTTAGTTAATTAATTATTTAGAATTTAATGGGGACATGGGTAGAGCAAGTTATTAATTGTTTTTTATTAATTAAAGATTTTGTATTTAAAAGAGAGAGAGAGAGTTATGGGCAGCCACGTGTGTAGCGGTTGAAGATGTTATCAATTAGTTTTTATTTTATTATTCTTATATTTTGGTGTAAAATTCCTAACAAGCCATGTGTCCCATTAAGTTGTTGTTTGAGATACTTCATTTTTACATTATAAAAACGTGTTACTTAAAACATGACATTTTCTACACGAAGTTCAATACCCTTATCCCCTACTTTTTATAGAATTTTGTTATATAATATAACTTATGAAGGCAATAACTTTTCTACACTGTATGTATATGCAAAAGCACGAAAGAGGCTAAAAGAATTAAATGAACGTGATTTCTTTTAGTTTTGTCTTACAAAATTAGAGCAATCTAACAAGGTAGGATAACGATGTGTAGTTGTTTTTATTCCGTTTAAATTATTTTTCCTTGTTGTCAAATTATTATATTTATGAATGTTAAAGATATGATATGTATTATATAACTATCCAGTACCAAAGATATGATATATTTTGAGCTCTTATGGATTTCTAAAAAGATGATGACAGTATGCTAATTTTTTATGTTTTTTTATTCAGGATTGTACCATTATTTTCGTGTCCTATTGAATATTCTCATGTATTTACCATTTTTCTTACTCCTCACATGTTAGAACGGGTCGTTGGTTGACGGACGACGAGGTATAGTTGTGGTGTCGGGACTTTTAGAACTCAATAAATTAAATTCGGTGTAATGTGGTTGAGACTTTTATTTTCAATATTAAATTTAGTGCTTCTACCATATGGACATTTTATCTAGGGTTTGAATAACATTTCATTTGGTAATGTATTAACATTTAGGGCCTATTTGATTTGAAGAATTTACCATGGATATTTTCCATTTTCCACCTTCTGGCCTGTTTGATTGCAATAATTTTCCTGACAATTCATTTTCTTTTCTCCCTACGTGACCCATTTTTTCTTGATTTGGTTGAAATTGATTTCCCATGGTTTAAGTGGAAAATCAATTTCCAGTTTTTTTTTTTTTTTTTTTTTTTTA